AAAAAACAATTATCCTGAACACAGATCGCGTGACATGTTGCTGGGAAACAATGGAAAATCAGCCGTTATTACTGTTGGAAATATTCAAAATATGCGAAGCTCAATGTCACCGCAAGCCGGTCAAGAATGCCGATTAGAGCGGATTGAAAATTGGAAAAGGCCACGAGCCGCCAGCTGCTCCACCAATAAAATATCAGAGTCATTCTCCTAAAGTCCTTAAAAAAATTAAACCTCCAGAAAACCTTTCACAGCTAGATGGAGCCGAAACAACCAAAAACTCTTAAGTGATTTTCCAGAAACTTATGAACGTTTCTATGCGAAACACCCACAATCATCAATATTGAGTAATGGAGTCTCCATGGCTACAAGTCACAACACAACAGTGGATCCACAGTTAGCTTCCATTAGTTGAGTGAATGGAATCTAATGGACAGATGGTTGACTGAAGGTAAACTGTGGCTGTTCGGTAACCAAGTGCAGTTGTTATCCAAAAGGTATGTGGACCCATAGAATCAAGCTTCTTTACATAGAATACTGCAGAATGTTGCCATGCTGGCAACTCGGAAAATCGCCATCATTTCTTTAGGAAAATCGGGCTTTTAATCACACAAACTGGGTCATAGCAACAAGGCAGGAAACACGTTTTTTCGCATTCATGTCTACCTTTAAGAAATCACATCGAACCCATTCATTTACTGTTAAACTGCATAAAAAACAGAACCCGATCCCCTAGTTAATACCTTCTGAAGCTCCACTTAAACCAGCCAACGTGGTAATTACCGAACAATTGAGCCAGACAGTTTATATCGATTGTTTCATTCAGGTAGATTAGAGTTTCTAGTTGTAACGACCAATAGCAACATTTAAAATTCCTGTATTGGGTAATTCTCGCTTGGAAGTTCAAGGCTGGAACTGCGGGGGCAAAGGTCATACGTCCATTGGTGGAGAGAAATCGGGTTGAAAAGTGCATTTGCAAACTTCGGGAAAAGCAGCGTCATGATCAAGTGGATTTTGCAAAACTGCCCACAATTCCCCATCCATGGTTCACTTTCTAAAAAGCCCATTTATTTCTCTCTAGAATGACGTACAAATTATCTTTCTTGCTCATTTTGCCTCCGAGAAATGAGCAAAAACGGGACGGAAAACATGAAATTTTGGCATAATCTTGAGGCTAAGTGTCTGATATTCAAATTTCGCTTTCTGTTCATTCGTGTTGTGTCCTTTATTCGAATAAAAAATATTGTTCGATACGAGGGCGAAAACTACTATTTTTAAATGCCTTCAAATTTTAGAGTTTTCCAGTTTTAGCCAAGTTACTCTTTCTTTCATGGAAATGCCCGACTGCCACCAAACAAAAATCGTTCAAAATGTCCGTTCTTGGATTAATTAACTTTCTAAAAACTCTAAATATTTGATCTGTCCGAGTTGCTGGCAACTGTTGCCAGGCCCAAAGTATCTCGCCCTATTGAAATCTAACAAACCCGTCACTTTCCAGATCGAAACCCTCATCCAAAGTAATGGAACGATACGAGAAAATCAGCAAAATCGGAGAAGGCAGCTACGGGGTGGTTTACAAATGCAAGAACCGAGATACTGGCGAAATAGTGGCGATCAAAAAGTTCACCGAAAGCGAAGAAGACCCCCTGATCCGCAAAATCGCTCTTCGGGAAATTCGCCTGCTGAAGGTACCGTTCCGCTGGGAATAAACCCCCATCATCGTAGCGCATTAAACTGGACTTTCAGAACCTGAAACATCCCAACTTGGTGAACCTGCTGGAGGTTTTCCGGCGCAAACGGCGCCTGCATCTCGTCCTGGAGTACTGCGAGCGCACCGTCTTGAACGAGCTGGAGAAGCACCCCAGGGGGGTACCGGAGCTGCTCACCAAGCAGATCATCTGGCAAACCATCCAGGGAGTTTCGTATTGCCATCAGCACGGCTGCATCCACAGGGACATCAAGCCGGAGAACATCCTGCTAACTGCTGCAGGCGTTGTGAAGCTGTGCGACTTTGGGTTCGCCAGGATGTTGAGTGAGTGCCAAATTCTACGTTTTCTGTTCAACAAGAGCTCACAAACACATGCCACATCCTTCCTGCATCCATCCAAAACGATTCTATTCGTATTTGCTGCAGATCCTGGTGAGAACTACACAGATTATGTGGCCACTAGATGGTACCGTTCTCCTGAGCTCCTGGTGGGGGACACCCAATATGGCACCCCTGTAGACATATGGGCAATAGGTGGGACCAAAGCTTACCAAGGGGAAAATGCGTTATGGAGACTGTTTGCAGGTTGCGTGATGGCCGAATTGATCAAAGGCGAAGCGATTTGGCCGGGAAAGTCCGATGTAGATCAGCTCTACCTGATCAGATGTTCTGTTGGGGACCTCCTGCCTAGACACATGCAGGCGTTTAAAAGCAACGACTTTTTCCAAGGCGTCATTTTGCCGCAGCCGCAGCAGCTGATGCCTTTGGAAGCGAAGCTGCCCATGTGCAGCTCGACCATCATCGACTTTCTAAAGGTAGCAAGTTTGGGGACAAGGGCGGATCCAATTCTCTATCCAACGATGTTCAAGTGGATTTTGCAACTAAAAAAAAAACCGAAAAAATGAATTCAATCCGCCCCTGTTTGGGCGACGGGAAAAAACTCCCAACTGATTGCTTGGTTTGCAGAAATGCCTGGACAAAGACCCGGCGAAACGGTGGACATGCACCGAGCTAATGAATCACTCCTACTTTGAGAACTTCAGCTTTAAAGTCGATGAGGAGAGCGACGCTTCAAAGGAGGACAAACTGCCCAGAAATCGATCGCGGGTACCATATAAATGATTCATTTTTACCGACAATGTAACGGGTTTTTTTGGGGCAGAATTCCAGCAATGGAGGAGGCTCAATGTCGCTGCCTCAGCTGCCTCTCAACAGCAAATCGATCAGTCCGGGCGCTCAACAGTCCAACGGCAAGTCCAAGCTGGACCATCTGCCGACGATTTGACAAAAATTCAACTTCTTCAAGTAGTTGACCGCGATTTTCGACAGACGATTGTAAATAATCCATTCAACGTGAGTGGTTGTATATTTTTGTAATCCAACTACAGGCACTTTTTACTTAAGCACAACCACTTTTACAAACACCAACCGTGTCTATTAGTTGTTTGATCTAGGCTAGTTTGGTCTAGGCCTGGGTAACTCAGTGACCTTTTAGGAGTTGGCGCAACAACAACTCAATAGCGCCACTCAACCCAGTGTTACTCAGGCCTAGTTTGATTGACCCAACCAGTAGGAAAGTCCTCAGTGTTTCACTGATTTGAAACACTCTGGTTTCAATTGCAGTTTGATGTGGTTTTCAAATGGTTCTCAATAAACAAAATTAACAAAAACTACATTTTATTCGTTAACTCTGCAGCCCCTTCTAGTAAAGTGACGCTCCCTAACTGTATGTACATAGGAACAACCTCCAGCTAAGGCCCATTGCCAGGGGTCTTATCAGTAGGCCTGGGAACCCCAGCCCACTTTGCCTGCAAGTCTTGGAATACCTGGAAGCGAAAGGGGATGCTATTGACAAATATCCAATGGGATAAGCGCAGCAAATGGGGTTGAAACCAACGTGGGGGTTCAAACAACGTTGGGCGAGTTTGAAGGGGGACCCCGTAGGGCCTAGTAAGCAACTGTTGGTAGCTGGTAGATGCAGACGGCAAATATAAGGAAAGGGGCGCAGTTTTCTTCAAGGGCTCACCGTGAACAAAGGCAATTTCTTGCGGTCTTGGGCGTCCACTAACTCGGGATTTTGCTGTATTTTCCACCAGCCCCAATGAATGCCAACTATCAAAGGGACGCCTACTAGAAGCACGAAGTAGTTGTTAAGGAATCTGCCGATTTTTTGACCGCTCATTGTTTAGCTAAAGCTTCTATTTTTGTAAATTTCGAACTAAAACCAAAAAAATTGACGTCTGCCATCGCTCTTCGTCCCTTCACATGAAACAATCGAACCAGTAGGGGCAATTAGCAAAACCGGCACCACTGCATTTGTTCGACCACTGCTTTTTACGCCTTACGTCCCCGCTAACAGCTACAATAAATTAAGTTTGCATCAAACCTAATGGGGAAAAATTACTAATTATCATTGCGGCCTTAATTAGCATACGCTTAATTACTGTAAGCGGCGGATTATTATTTATAAAATGACTAGCATCACATCTAAGAGCGCCATTTTGGTACGCTGAAGCGCATTGTGCACGACAAGAAGAGGAAAAGGTTATATGCTATTGGCATTAGTGTGTTAATGTTGTCTCAAAGTATTAGTGCTAATTTAGTCGAATTCGAAGCCCCCTCAGTGCAAATTTTTAGGTTGTTCATGTCTCGAAGACACTAGCTAGGGATTTAGAAGGTTTTGGGGTCCAAAATGTCGTACCATTACGTAGTTACGGCTCATCAGCCGACCGCTGTTACGGCCTGTGTCACTGGTGAGTACCCGGAGGGGTTTTGGGGGCAGTTTTCACCGCACCAGCAGAAGGGTTCATTTAAAAGCCTTCAACGTGTGAGGGAAACTGCGGTTTCTGCGCTGTGCGCTTCGAAAGATTCAGCACGCTCCCAAGCAGGGCTTTTGTGTTTGGGTTACTTGGACGAATTTGTTTAGGGAAAACCCTCAAAATGGGGTACATGCGAAGGAATTGATAGGGAATAGCGTGATTGGAGACGAGGGAACTTTTTTGACAGAGTTAGGAGTTTTGTACTCATTTGACGGTCTTTTAGGTGAAGGGGCGAGAGCTACAAATGTTTTAAAGAAGGACAGTAGAATCGGTTCCAAATTCCAAAATGTTGGCCCTCCAATATCAGGGGAAGTTTTCATTGCAATTGCTATAATTAGTTAGGATTACGGAAGTTTTCGATAAGCATGCCAGCGTTAAACCGTTTTTGGTTAGTTCTTAACGTGTGCTCTTCAAAAAAGTACCTGTATAGCAATATCGCACGTCCATAGGAAGACTGTGTCTCACTCCTGGGGGTAAAATCTTGTATTTAGTATATTATGTTGTTTGTTTTATCAAGGGATTTAAATCAGCACGACGTTGTTTCCAGGTAATTTCACCTCACCAACAGACCTAAACTTAATAGTGGCAAAAAGCAACCGCCTCGACATCTACCTTGTGACACCAGAGGGGCTGCGCCCCATAAAAGAAGTGGGCCTTTATGGCAAGGTGGCTGTTATGAAACTGTTCAGACCGCAGGTAATTTTCTCAGATTTTCCGGACTAACTGGACATCAAATAACCAATGCAATTTCAGCAAGAAAATAAAGATTTCCTGTTTATCGTCACCTACCGATACAATGCAATGATCTTGGAGTGTGTCAGTTCAGGGGACGGGTTCGAAATCCTCACGAAAGCGCACGGCGACGTTTCAGACCGAATCGGAAAGCCTTCGGAAACTGGCATTTTGGCGGTGATCGATCCAAAGGCTCGAGTGATCGGTTTGAGGCTGTATGATGGGCTGTTTAAGGTCATCCCATTGGACAAGGACAATCTGGAACTGAAGGCGACGAATTTAAGGTGGATGTTTGACGAACCTGCGCTCGATCAGTCGGTTTTAATGCTGGCGTGGGGATTTCAGGATGGATGAGCTGCATGTGTCCGACCTGGAGTTTCTCCATGGATGCGCAAATCCCACCCTCATACTGATCCATCAGGACGTTAACGGCAAGCACGTGAAAACCCACGAAATCTCGCTGCGCGACAAGGAGTTTGTCAAGATGTTCTGGAGGCAGGACAACGTGGAAACGGAGGCTTCCATGGTCATTCCTGTACCGTCTCCGCTTGGGGGCGCCATCGTTATTGGCCAGGAGAGCATTTTGTATCACGATGGGGTCACCTGCGTCGTGGTCGCCCCGGCTGTTATCAAGGTAATTTTAGCTGGACTTCAAGTGGCATTCTTCCAATCTTCCTTCTCTTCAGCAAAGCACCATCACGTGCTACGCCAGAGTGGACCCAGGAGGCTACCGCTATCTCCTTGGAGACATGGCGGGCCATCTTTTCATGCTCTTCCTAGAGACCGAGACTCCGGAAGGTGGCCAGGAACTGGTCAAGGATCTCAAAGTGGGCCTACTAGGTTTGTCCCGTTAGGTCTCAGGCCGGCGCCGATCTCACTTAGGGCACTTTCCAGGCGAAATTGCCATCCCCGAGTGCATCACCTACTTGGACAATGGCGTCATTTTCATCGGATCGCGCCTGGGGGATTCACAGCTGGTCAAATTGAACACCAAAGTGGACGAGAACAGTTCCTACGTAACGGTCATGGAAACATTCACCAACCTCGCGCCCATTCTGGATATGTGCGTAGTGGATTTGGAGCGACAAAGTCAAGGCCAGTTGGTCACATGCTCAGGAGCCTTCAAGGAGGGCTCGCTGAGGATCATCCGGAATGGCATCGGAATTCAGGAGCACGCCTCCATTGATTTGATGGGAATCAAAGGCATGTGGGCATTGCAAGCCAATGGTAGGTGGGCTCCACAACGGCAAGATCGATGTTTTATGTTGGATGGCTTCCAGGGGAGAAGCTAGATGACACCTTGGTGCTGGCGTTTGTCGGGCAGACCAGGATCTTGTCGCTGAACGGCGAGGAAGTCGAGGAAACGGACATTGCGGGGTTCACATCGGATCAGCAGACTTTCTACTGCGGCAATGCCATCCACAACCAATTAGTTCAGGTGAGTGCCGGTCAAGCGGATGGTTTGGCAACAAGCGAGCATCAATGATTTGATGGAACTCAGCCCCAAAGTACAACAGTTTCAATAGATTTCATTTAGGAATGTTTTCCGGGCTTTGAAGCCGTGGCCTATGGGAATTTCTTCCTGGCGTTTCGTTCACAACTGCGCTGGACATTATCAAAAGCGATGAGGCAGTGGGAGAAGGGATCTCCCGTGCTTTCCGACTAAGACTGGTTCAACCACTGAATCCCCTGTATTTATGCGGCGACAGCGCAGTTGTGGACGAAACGTCAGGAAGAAATTCCCATGGACCACGGCTTCAAAGCCCGAAAACATTTCTAAATGTGATTTAACCGGCCCTGAAAGCATTCACAGTCTGATTATCGTAGATGTTTGACAAAATACTCCTGGAGATTCACGAAATTCACCGTAGCTGGCCAACTATGGTGAATAATTTTTCAATTTGAAGCTCATTGGATGTTTGCGACACTAAAGTTTCGACTTTGAACGAAACGTTAAATTCAAAAGTTCCAGAAATCCAGCCAAAGTTTCAAACGCGAATTTTAACTTTGCTTAAATATAGTTGAAGTTTGCAATCTGAAATGTACATTTGAACTGGTCTCGAGCGCAACTTGAACTGGGATGGAACTAGTTTTGTGCAACCGGCCTCGAGAGTCTCAAAAAACGACTTTGAACTCAGTCAAAAAAGTCAAAATTTTGGGCCTTAAAATGCGATTAAGAAACAGAATCGGAATTCTCAGATAAAATTTTGTAACATTTTGGAAACATCAACACGACAGGGGATCCAGTGGTTGAACCAGTCTTAGTCGGAAAGCACGGGAGATCACTTCGCCCACAGCCTCATCGCCTTTGATAATGTCCAGCGCAGTTGGGGCCGAAACGTCAGGAAGAAATTCCCATAGACCACGGCTTCAAACCCCGAAAAACATTCCTAAACGTGATTTAACCGGCCGTGAAAGTCTTCAGAGTTTCAATAGATTTTTTACCCCTAAATTTCTCTGCTTCAACTTGAGTTGTGGGCAACAGCCTTTAGGATCTTGTTTTACTTTTCTGTAATTCTTTGTGCGTCTGTGGTTTTTTTGCAGTTGAATTACAGTTTTTTGGTCATTTCAGGTCACTCCTATATCGGCCCGATTGGTGACGATTAGGGGCAAAACCCTCGTATCCGAATGGAGGCCGCCGACCGAGAAAAACATCATCATCGTGGCCTGCAACGAGTCCCAACTGGTTGTGTCCACTGGAAATCAGGTCTACTACTTGGAGATTCACTCGAACGAATTAATTTTGAAAGGGTAATAGATGGAACCTGGGGAAAATCGATTTGCAATGGCATCGTTGCAGGGAAACGACGCTCGATGTGGAAGTGTCCTGTCTGGACATCAGCCCATTGGCAGATTCTTCCGTAGCCGACATTGTTGCCGTCGGTCTGTGGACCGACAACTCTGCGCGCATCCTGCACCTGCCCACTCTGCAAGAAGCCTACAAAGAGCTGCTTGGAGGCGGTAAGCTGCCCATAGAGCCGACGTATGCGCGATAATCATGCGATTTTTGCCAACATTCCAGATATAATGCCTCGCTCTATTCTCATGGCCACGTTCGAGGGACACGACTATCTTCTATGTGCGCTGGGCGACGGCTCCATGTACTACTTTTTGCTGCATAGGGAATCAGGCGTTTTGCGCGATAAGAAGAAAGTGACTTTAGGCACGCAACCCACTGTTCTGCGGACGTTCAGATCGCTGAACTCGACCAATGTGTTCGCGTGCTCCGATAGGCCCACCGTTATCTACTCCTCCAATCACAAGCTGGTGTTCTCCAACGTCAACTTAAAGGAAGTGAATCAAATGTGCTCGTTGAATTCCGAAGCATATCCCGACAGGTATGCTATTTTTTTGTTTTTTTTTTACAAAAAAAACGAGCTTTTTATACTTGTTTTTGCAGTCTAGCTCTGGCCACGGCCACCTCAGTAACTATAGGAACTATTGATGAAATCCAAAAACTGCATATCCGAACGATTCCGCTGCAGGAATCGCCCCGCAGAATTGCCTATCAGGAAAGCACCCAGGTATGTTTAAGTTAAGCTTGGTTGCAAGGGCGCCTAGTTTATTAAATTGCATCTTCTGCTAGGTTTTTGGTGTGATCACCTGCCGGATAGACATCCAAGATTCCACAGGCCTGAGCCCGGTCAGACAGAGCGCCTCCACGATGACGCAAGCTGTAACTGTGTCTAGCAACGCGTCTGGATCTGCTGTGAACAAATCCGGAGGATCGAGTTCGGTTGTTGCGGGTAGGAGCCGCTCAAACCCGTCAAGGCAATGGGAGTTTTCAATAAATTCAACTTTCAGGAGCGGCCGCTGAGTATGGACAAGAGGTGGAAATCCACAACTTGCTCATCATCGACCAAAACACCTTCGAAGTATTAGCGGCGCATCAGTTTATGCCGCAGGAATACGCCATGTCGCTGATCTCCTGCCAGCTTAGCCACGATCCAGCTACTTATTTTATTGTGGGTGAGTTCGAGTTGGCTCTAACCAGTTTGTGAAAGAATATCGATGTTTTGGTCTTGCTCCGACATTTAAGGGGCGCGTAGAAGACTTGTCTGTCTTAGGCAGCACAAGTTGCAGACTGGTTTTCAAATAGGTTTTTCGGGTTTTTAGGCCGTCGCACAATCGATTTTCTTCCTGACGTTTCGCAAGCACGAGTGGCTTGCATCTTCAGAAGTGGTTTGCTTGAACGCTTACACTGTTCTCATCAGAACCCGATCAGTTCT